ACAAAGCCACGCCTACAGAACTGGTAGTAAAAAAATTTGAATCCCACCACTGCATTTGACCCACGCGGTGACTATTTATTTGTTTATGGTAGTTCATTTATCTGCAGTCCAAAACCAACATAAAAATGAAGCACAACAAATACAACAAGTCGAAGGAGGGAAATGGCATAAACATCCTGAAATGATTCATAATGTAAAGGAGACACTGGTGGGTTTGTGAAGCCAGAGCTATTGATAGCAATTTTGCAATCTTCTCAGAGGTATCTGAGAACTGATCACATTTTTTAAAAAAAGAGTAGCAATCTCATAATCACATTAGCGGTTAAAATTACTGACCCCTGGAGATTCAATCTCCATTGTGAACATAGCAGGCATTTTAATACCATGGGTGAAATAGCTTCAACTGCCATAGCACAGACAAGAGTGGCAATTCTAAAAAAGTTAGTCTATTTGCCTATTGTCATCCTAACGAGTAGTGCCCCAATTCATGACAGAATGGAGTCTCCTGTGAGGAGCTTGTAGAACAGGGGTTTCAAACTCAAGGCCTGCGGGCAGGATCCAGCTCATTGGGGGTGCTTAGATCTGGCCTGTAGGGCTGCCCTGGAAACAGCAAAGGACCAGTCAACGGTGCCTGTGCCAGCGAAAATGGAGCTTCTGAAGGCCGTGTGCAGCCCTCCCGAGTTCCGTTTTTGGTGGCAGAGGGTTGCAGGAGGCCATTGCAGCCGAAAGTGGAGCTCAGGAGCCCATTTTCACTGGCAGAGCACTTCAGCCACCATAGGCAAGTCACATCGAGCTGGCCAACACCCCCCCCCCGAGGTCAAACACAACCCTGATGCATCCCTCAATGAAATCGAGTTTAACATGCCTGTTGTAGGGTATTAAGAAAATACCTAAGGACAGACCAGGGGATAGGACAGCAATTACATTGTTGGAGAGACCAGAAAACTCGGACACTGTCAGTTTGAATATCTGAGTTCCAATTCAATGAGATTTGTTTTTCCTTCCTTCCTTCCTTCCTTCCTTCCTTCCTTCCTTCCTTCCTTCCTTCCTTCCTTCCT